AATTACTTTAAAACAGATTTCTTTCAGCAAGCAGACATTGTTCTCTATTTCTATTTTCCAACTTTGTCACTTTTCATTGATCGAACATATACTATTTCATGAATAGTTAAGCTAAAAATTTATGGAACTATTACTATCTACGCCCCGACAGGAATGAAGTTAGTGCCGAAATTTAAAAAAAAAACTTTTAAATGGAATCAAGACACTGTTTTATCTATGTCGCGTGTATAAAATTAAAAAAATATGCTAAAATATGAAGACTAAAAATTGAAAAACAGTGAGAAAAAGTTTGTACTTGCATGATATAGCTTAGGAAGTATACGTTTTTTCCCTATTACAATTGTTTTTCTGCAACTCTTATAGTTATGCTAAAATTAAAAAAATTGAATGGAATTACTTCAATTTATTGCATAAACTTTCCAGAATGAATAAATTGGACGGAAATTCTGTTTCGGAACCAAACAAATTAGGTTCCACAGATTTCTGTGTTGAATAAAGAGACAGATAGATCATGACAAACATTTTTTTTGTGTATAACTGGTTTTTTTAAGAAAAAGGAATAAAAAATTTTCCTTAATTCTTGTCGCCGTTCATCGTGATGCAAAACCAACGATTAACTTCTCTCGATCAGATCGTCGTACACAACAACATTAATCGAAACTTGAATAGCATTTCAACGCGAGAGCTTCAACAAAAACATAAAAAAATGGAGCGTGGAACCATCGCCCTTTTCATCATTGCTCTTCTTCTCGTTATTACTCTTGCCATCAGCATCGCTCTTGTCTTTACCATTGGTTTGAAAGCAACGCAACCGGATAAAAGTAGTAATACCACATTTTCTACCTCAACAACCTCGTCTGTGAGTCTTCTCTACGAGCCCTGTAAATGTGGTTGCCCATTGATTGAGCCTTTATTCAATAATGAAACGAAGATGGCTATCCCCCGTATTGTTAATGGAGAAACGGTGCGCGCACACTCCTGGCCTTGGCAAATATTTTTATTGGCCTACGATCCAGAAACGGAATTAGCGGCGACATGCGGTGCCACTTTGCTCACACAAAGACACATTCTTACAGCGGCACATTGTGTTCACGGTTACGTGCCCCCAAACATACTTCTATTTCCAGGTCAACACGCTAGTAATTTCAATATCTCTTTAGCAGACATCCATGTAGTCAATAAAGTCTATATTCATGAAGGCTACAACGCTCGTGCCCACAACGATCTAGCCATTCTCACAATTGAAGAGCCTTTTCGTTTTGACTCATATGTTAGTCCTATTTGTTTAGCCACTTCGAATTCTTCTCTTCTACAAGCGAATGAAGAACTTGTGACCATTGGATGGGGTCGTACTTCTGGTCAACCTGGAACTCCTAGACTTCCTGCATATCTGCAACAAGTCAAAGTTGCCTACATGTCAACATCGAACCCTAACTGCTCAAAAATATTTGGATCAAAAGTTACCTTGCATTCCGGACAGATGTGCGCTGGAAATCCGGGTCGCAACGTTTGTCGCGGAGACAGTGGTGGACCGTTGATGAGACGAATACGTTTGACTAACACGGAGACTTATTATTGGCAACAGGTGGGTGTGGCGTCGTTAACGAAAGATTGTGGCTGGAATAGTACGTTACCCGATATCTACACTAGTGTTCCATATTATTACGATTGGATCATGGCGACGATGAAACGTGCTGTTTGAGAACATTTTTATTTCAGTTTATCAGTGAACCTCAATGTATATGATAAACTCGCATCTTCACATACAAAAATTCAGACTTGTCATAACATTGCTCAGTAGAATAAATATAATCTATGAACGATGTATTCAAGAATTGATGCCTTTTTATTTAAAAACTTCTAAAATATGGGGATGATCAGTTTGCTAGGAAGACTTCATTCACTTGTTTTGTACAGCCTCGAACACGCATTAGAAGAATATGATTTTTTTATTAGTTATAGTGGATGTACAGCACTGGACACGACGCGATGGTATAAAGTATAAGGATATTCAACTGAAAGCTACTGATTCCGATATTCTGACTAAAAGCATGGTGTCTGGGTGCATCAGTTCAAGTATCCTTGTCCCTTCAATCAATCTCTCACTGACTGTAATGTGTGTAAAAAATTATTCTCACAAGAAACCAACAGGATATCGAGGTTCTAAGCCTGCCATGATCTAAGAGTCGAACTGGAACAACAATTACACAATTATTTCGATAAAGGGAAAAAAACAAATGATTCGTCTGCCTTCTATAATGGGGATTTCTAATGATTGTGATCTTCTAGGAAACTTCCTCGTCACATAGTAATTCATCTTGAATCAAAGGCGAACTGCCCGTGTGAAGATACAAGAGATAGGTTATATTTGAGAGTGAAGAGAAGTCCCACTTCAACTAATACGCTCACCTACACACAACTTTTAGTTGATTCGGAGAAGGACCAAGAATTGAGATTGGATTTCCACACGCATGCAACACATTGTGGCAATTGCAAAATTTATGCAACATAGTAAATTTCACTGCGTGTCATGTGTGCGTAAAAATAGTGAGAATATAAACTCAAATCGTTCGCTCTCAGTCTTTATCCACTAAGTGTAAGCTTATATCAATGTGAAGACAAAGAAACGCAAAATATCCATCAATCAATATTTGTTTACAATATACTCACATAGAAATGTATCACACACGTTCTTGTTGGGAACGGTAAGCTTCAGAACAAAGTCAATCGATTACATTTGAAGGTTAATTAATAGATTGTCTCGTAGGATTTTTCAAAATTTTCCATTGTTAGTACTGTAACAACTCTATGTCACTTCCAATCACCACAATAAGTCTAACATCTGAGTTTCTATAAATCTCAACTTTGGTTGACTTTGTTTGGATTCGGAATGCAAACGTTCACTAGTACTTCTGAGCAGAAACTGCTTAAACCCTATTCAATAATAAAAAAACAAGATATATAACACTTTAGTAAATCGAAACTAGAATTCAGATATTGATTAAAGCGACTAGGACGTGCAACTTAATGCAAATCTTCATATGAGACTAAGCAAATATTTACTTCAATGATTCGTAATCTAATTAGATATCCGAATAGTTGAATTGAGGTATAAGGCTTGAAGTCGATCGCTCGTGATAAATTGTGATCTTCGTCCGTAAGCTAAAATTGAAACATCTTGCAAATTAATCAGAAAGATATTTTTCTGCAAAAGACAATTGTACGTGTGGATGTGAGTATGCGACTCTTTTATTCAATCATAGACACACTAACGCAAACATCTCATACTCGTCGTATAGTCAGTTAACAGTTGATATAGTTGATAGATTGACAATTCAAAACGAATGTTATAATACAAGTCAGGCTTTAAATTTTTAGTACATCCATCGAAATGCTTTACTGTAACATAGGATAAAACAGCTATACGTTACATGATCGAACGTGAGCAATAATGTCAGTCTTTCATCTTTGTATTTATTGTGTAGGACGAAATAGAATAGTCAATTTCTTTTAGCAATACATGATAAATCTCAGTGATATTATCATTCAAATTTTCTAACAAATTTCAATTTCACGGTATACCATAGAGAGATAAAATTTAGATCATTTGAGGGATAGTTTAGATGAGTTCTTAGTTATTCTAATCGTGTTACTATTTTGATAACAATAACTTATTAGTTAATTTTGGTTTCTATGACTTAATATAAAATTCTTTGGAAAATATTTATCTACACCGCTCATCACTGTATCGACTTAGTATATCTTTAATCGTATACACTATTATCAAACCATTTTCCTCGTTTTTTTTGATAAAAAAAGATAGTCGATTTTTCTAGCTCATATCATAACAAGTACCGGCATACTAAAGATTTTAAATGGTACAAATATTAACACACGTGAATTGCGATGCATCATCATTATGATCACTATATGTGGTCAAAAATATATTGTTGAAACAATTCTAGAAGAATTTTTTTAAATTTCAAGGGCATATCATGAATCCATCATTCATAGTTTAGTTGTCTTGTCAAATAAATTTCAAAAATATATACATTCTCTTATCTCATCATAGGTTTCAACGATATAGACAAGCAAGATTCTTATGCATTTTTTTATTCTCAATAAATGTTATACTTCATTTCCTTCCATTAATTATAAAAATAGAGCTTTTACTATTCTTCTCAATTTGTACATTTTACCTATGTAGATTATCAAAAGAGGGATATACTTGAATGCTTCTTTTCTTTGCATTTTCTCTCGTAGAAATCGTATGCACACGTCTATATAATCAATAGAAAAAAAATATGCAGACAGTCGTAGAGAAAAAAAAATGAATAAGAATCAGTGACAAAAAGAGAATGTGATAAGCAAAAGAAAAAGAGACAACACATTATTATTAAACAAGCAAAGGTTATGAGTCATGATTTGCTAGCATACGTTATCATAACTAATCATTCATTATGAACAAAATTTTTTTTCTCAACATCAATGACGTAAGGAATATTCTCTTTTTCTTCTTTTAGGGAAATAAATTACTGCATCATTTTGTTTGTCATATTTCAATAAGTTTTTCTTTCTCAAGATATTGTATTGTACGTTTGTGATAGACGATGTTTTTGTACGATTTTGAAAGGAAAAAAACCAATTCGATTCTAATTGAGTAATATCTAATAAGATTCTGTCTAGTCTCTTTCTCATTTTTCTTGTAAAATATTTTGATGGGATTCTTCTAAGTATCATATAAATGAGTAAGAAAACATCACCGGAAAAAAACATTCGTACCAACTATAAAAGAACAGCACAACTAGCAAACAAACAGATAATATTGAAATACAACAAAAATGGTGAAAATCATTCTTCTTTTTATTGTTTTGATTGGTTTACAAGTGGCTAGTGCAGATTTGGATGTTGCACTCCGATCTTTTCTGGGATTGACTACGAAAAAAAGTTTAGTAGGAAACAAAGCTGATGCTATTAAGAATTTATACAACTTGTACAAGATGGAGTTTAATCGAAATTCAAAGACAACAAGTGAAGATAAGCTTCGTTTTATATCATTCAATAACACGTTGCATGACATTCTCAATGATTATCGACAAGGTGAAAAAACATACACTCTTGGACTCAATGATCATGCTGATTGGACACAAGATGAATTGAGTATATTACGTCGTGGCATTCAATTGCCTAAAGGCTGCATCAGTAAAACGAATGTAAAACCTGGTGATCGTTTATTAACATGGAACGGAAAGCCATCACATGGCAGAACGACCTTACCGACATCGTGCGACTTAACAACAATGGTTGTTCCAGGAACGGCCGTGCCACTTGTAAGTATTATTTTCCATTCATGATCCAAAATCATCCTGCATTTTTCTATTCAAGCTTTTATCAGCCAAAAGTCAAGGCAAATGTGGATCGTGTTATGCATTCGCTTTTATCTCTTTGCTTGAATTTCAATATGCTCTACAATTGAAGAATAGCACCAGTTTGAGCAAACAACAAATTGTTGACTGTTCATCCAAGGATCGTGGCTGTAATGGAGGTTAATTTTCTAACACATTTAAATATTTACAAAATAATACTTGGCAAGTAAATGGGGCCCCATACTATCCCTACAAGGGTATAAATAGTGCATGTGCATTTAGAAGTGTGGAAGGTAGTGGAATACAATTCGAATCACTTCGTTACATTAAAATTCCAGCAAATAATACTGCTGCCATGCAACAAGCTCTGGTTGACTATGGACCTTTGTGGGTATCACTTTTCATTGGTGATCAGACGACATTAACGTATAAAATGATTTCCTCTACATTCAACAATTACAAAAGTGGTATTTTTCAAGTAAATGGATGTCCAGCATCGGTTAGCTCATCAAATCATGCTGTTGTCATCGTTGGCTACGGAGTTGATGAGACAACGGGTGTGCCCTATTGGAAAGTGAGAAATAGTTGGGGACCTATGTGGGGAGATGGTGGCTATTTTAAAATACAACGTGGTGTGAACATGTGCGGTATTGAATCCGGTATATTCTACATTGCAAGAGCAGTATAAATCATAAATAATAATTATTTCTTGTTTAATAGGCTAATATGTGTGTGTGCATTTTTGTTTTTATTATTATTCAACATATACTCTATATATATTCATGAATAAAAAATCGATTTTCTTCTTAATAAAAATATAGGTGTCTGTTAATCCAGGTCCTCAGCCATAGCTGTAAAATTCAACTTGATTGGTCAAATGAATTTTAAATTAAAGAATGTAAGAAATTGTTTGAAAGAAGATTGTTTTACTTTTGAAACTTAACATAAAATAAAATCATGAAAAATCAATAATTGAATATTTTTTAAAATAACCGATATCCAGTCTGTCAACAAATATTAGATTGAATAAAACTTGCGAAAATCAATTGATCGATAAACAAAAGTATTTTTGTGATAAATTCTCCAGGCATCTCATCGATTACATTATGCCATGGTGTGTGATGTTCTTTTATCATGATACTGGTTCATGTTGAAACTTAGGCTTTTTCTAGATAGATCTAAAGATTTTCGAATCTCAATTTATGTATTTGAGCCATATTTTAACCACTTGATCTATAATGAAACATGAATAGCCGATTGGATGATTATTTGATCAATAGTTGCAAATAGGTTCAGATTTCTAAGTTATCGTGAATAGACTGATACGATTTAGAAGTTCACTGGTGAATTGAAGTAGTATTTATTGAAGTTTCAAGCAAATATAAGACTTCTTAAAGTTTTCTTTTTATCTTTGAAGAATTTGGTGAAAACTTCTCCTGACTTGTCTGCAGCTATGAATTACTTCTAAATTTTCATGTGAGAAATAGATTACAAAAAGTAGAAAAGAATCTGTCAAAATTGTAAGTAGACCATTTATTAATGTTGATGATGACCAATACAGTGAAAGATTCTACTATAGATGTGAAGTATGGAAAGTCACTACCAATAGCAGTTGACCACGAAAATATCTCGCATTTGGACGATGCTGCTAAACAGGTTGCAATTGAATCATCACATGGGCTTCGTAAACTGAAAACGTTTACGAGAGCTGAAAGAACCTGACAACGACACACACAAGAAAGAGTGGACATGAGAGTACAATGACTATGGAGGGGTGTAATCATCTATCGTTCGTGGAGCCTACCAGAATTAGAGGAGTAAAAGCAATAGCGACGATGAAAGATGTGTCATAAGAGAGGAAACAAAGAAAACAAGAGAATAATGATGAACGATGTGAACGGCAAGCAAAGAACGCTTTTCGTCAGCACCACCGTCGACAGCAAGGTTCATCTTTGTAAGCAGTTGAACTTCTATGTGAGTTTTCTCCCGAAATTTATCATCCCAAATGAGCTAGCGACGGAGTAAATGTCTAGTCTATTTTCTAGTCATGCCGGCATGACAGGATTAGTCAGAGTTTCAAAAAGTCCTCGTCTGGAACTAATCTGAATCGAACTATGTACTGGTATCCCATCATTGTCGGGCGTCATGATGCAAATATAGTCTGGTCTTTTTCTTCAGAAAGACTAGACAAGTCGGATTGCCGTGACGCCTATAAGAAAATGATTTTAATTTAAAAAATAAACACCATCAGGGACGATGCACATAACATGCTATAGTGAGATGCATTGGACTAGTTTGGATGAGTCTAAATCTAAATATAATATGAAGTTAAAGGCTAGATTCGAACATACATACATACATTCTATTACTTACCCGTCGTTTAGACCATTGAACTATATATAATCGAAAACTTCTCTTTTACGTCTCACTAAACATTAGTAGACACTCTTTGATAGAAATTTTTCTGAGAATTTTCATATGAATATAAAAAATTATCGTAATACAAAGTTAGGTATATCAGCTCAAACAAGAGTGCTTTTGATTTTTTTTAAATTAAAAGGAAAGACAATTATATTTATTTATTTAGGTGTTAGATAACATTAGAGAATGTAAAAAAAATATTAAGTAAAAAATAGGATAATAATTTTTTAAGTTGAAGAGAAAATAATTTTATAAGTAATAAGATTTAGTTTTAATTTTAAAATGGATCAATTTAATTTAAAATAGAATAAAATCATGATAATAGTAATAATATGTATTTTCTTTTCAATTCAAAAAATCATGAATTTATTTGCACTCGATATCTTAATAAATTAAATGATTTTGTCTAAAACCTAATGAAAATATAATTTGTTTTTCAATGTTCATGTGGATAAAAATAATCTTTTCTGATACAAAACTTTATATATAAGCTCAAATAAGACTATTTTTGATTTAAAATAATTATAGTTTCTTCGTTAGATTTAAGAAAAAAGTAATGAATGCAAAAAAAAATACAACGTACACAATAAATTGATAATCTTTTTGAATCGAAATGAAAATAATTTTTGTAAGGATGATGATTTTATTTTTAATTAAATCAATTCATTTTGAAATTAACATTAAAATGAATTTTTGCAACCTAGAGCACCGTTTTTTTTGATTCATCTACACTCTAAAAAAACGCTTTCTCAGAAACTGAAACCCCTTCAGAAGCGCTTTCGAAAAATCTATGTACGTATTCGAAAAGGTTTTCGGACTCATGTTAAGTTTCTGAAAACAAGTTCTGAGTTCCCGAGCATTCTGAAACCTATGGATCTTCGAACAATAGATCCGAAAATCTTCAACCATATTCTCAGAAACCCTGGTGCTATTTCCGAAAACCGCTTTTGATTTAAAAATCTGCTCGAAAATCTTTGCGTTTCCGATATTTTTTTTTAATGAAAACCTTTTTGAGCTTTCAGGCATCGGAAATGCTGAAAGCATATCCAAGAAATCAAGCACAGTTTCCGAACATATCTCGGAAACTCATACAATATTCTGAAACACCGAAATGGCATTCGAATATCTTCTTTTTGATTCTCATGTTTCCATCGTTATTATAGAGGTTTAGGGATTGCTCGACATGCGTATTATAAACCTTATTCAATTTATGGGGAATTATTGTGTAAAACTATTAGAGCTCTGAGAATTCAAAAACAAAAATACTTTGTTTCTGAGAAAATATCGACTCATTTTTACATCTTTCAGTACCTAAAAACTTAAATCGATTATGATAAGTTTACTAGGAAGATCGAAGAGCTGCACTAAATCGTCAGATCATTAAAAGAATGTCGTCTTTTTCCTTCTTCATTCATTTGTGTTTCATTCAAGTACAAGCATTGTCATACTTGTCAACAGATTACAACGGAATATAGCGCAAGTTTCGACCGTTTGAGGATTCTTTTAACTGATTTATACAAAAGAATGATAGGAGAGGAATGATGAGACACATGAAGAAATCTTCCATTTGCAAGGGAATGTAAAACAAATACCGAGTATCACGAAATGTTTGCAATATAATTTATTCTTCATATATCTCAACGAACGTAAATGATAAAATCTTAAATATTTTCAAAACACGCATCATGATATGCTTTACAATAGTCAAAAAAAGATTATCTTGGCTTGTACTAATAGTTTTGAAGAGAGCTAAAAGAAAAGATATATCAGATGTTGTAGTTTCTCATTTTGATGTCGATGTAAACGCTTTTAAAAAAATACATTTACTATCTAAATCAAATTAAATGTACAAAAACTCATTTCTGAATAGCATCATCTCGATAAAATTAGTATCTTGATGTTCGAAAATAGTCGGAAAGAATCAAACGTCTACGAAATATGATTGTTGTTTAGGTGAAGAAAAAAAAATTCTCGATAGTGAGAAACTATAGACCCTCATATACCTTTCCTTTTACCTCTCTCCAAATCTATTAGCATAAGCTAAATTCAATGATTCACATTTTACAAGAAACTATTGTCATCTTTGATAGAACTGAAGACGTTTGTATCAGTGTTCACCTGTTGCAAATAAGAATAAAAAATAAATTGGATCTAATTAAATAAATTCTCATAAAACTGAATAAGTTGTTACTGGCATTCGATTTATCTTGGTTATTATATAAAAATATATTCTATGTCATAGGCTATATTAAGTTTTTGGTAAGAATAATCGAGACACATTTTATTTTAAATCAGGTGCAGAGCTACGAAATTTTTATTTTATTTTAATATAATTTCTTATTTTCATTTCCATTAGGGAAACACAACGCATAATCGTGATTTTTATGTAGATAATGTTCATTTTCAATAACTTGTAGTCTAATATAAACACGAATGACTTCTTTGTCGACATCAGAAAATAATGTTTGAACGTAATTCTATGAATAAGCGAATCGACATACTAATTTTTGAGCATCAAATTCCCAGAGAACACATTCATTATTCTACTATTGGGAATACATAAGTTAAAAAGTTTCTCATTGATTTTGATTGAAACATAAGTGAATAATAATTAACAACATATTATATTCATATATTAAATATTATGTATAAGCTAGGTTAAATGCGAAGACAAATAAATATCGATAAAGAAAAAAACTATTCGAATAAACATAAGTTTCAATATCTAGGTTTTTCTTTTTTGGTTGGATCTTCCTCAGACAAATTATATTTCAATTGAGTATACTTTCAAACTGTACAGTTTATTAGATTCAACCAAGCGTCAATCAAAATTACATATAACTTGATATAAATATATAATATTAGTTCTTTGTTCTCATCTTTTTGGACTATTTTTGCTTATAAACGTTCTAAAAACTGTACAATTTTGCTTGAATGTCAATTTTATCTGAGATCTATAGCCATTCTGAGCATCGAGAATAATTCGTGGCTGTGAATGTGGTGTGTTCGTGCACGGATCTTTTCTTCACCCACACCTCGAATTCTGTTGGTGACATAAATGCTTCATCACAATAGAAAATATAGGAATAATGTTGAATATAACTGACTCGAAGTAGATAAATTAAATTGTATATCATAGGAACTGGATCGTTTATAGCTATCTTCGACGATTGAAACACTCGTCCAGGATACTAATTTCTATAAACTTGTTTTTTTTTATATCAATACATGAAATCTCTCAATGGTCAAATATATCTATTTGAGTTT